TTGAAAGCATTCTTACTTTACAGCATTTTTTCACACCTGCCTAAAACGTTGCACAATACTGTATGTATTTAATGAAATACTTAGTTTGGCCATCAGATTATACCTTCATCTGGGTATATTATACCTTCAACTCTGGGGCCCTTCTATCAAGCAATACCACCTTGTTGGAACCCGGGGCATGCCTTCTCAGTGGCAGTACCTGGAACAGCATCCTTCTGGAGATTCAGGTGGCCCCAACCCTGTTAAGCTTTTGCAAGACATTGAAGATCTGACTGTTTTCCTGGGCATTTGAGTCAGGTGGCTAGATGAGTTCTGCTATGATCAATGTGCTGTTTTCTGGTAGTGGAGTTATTGTTTATCCTTGCAAGCTGGGGGGTACATGTTGTGGGTTTTTCTGTGTTTTAATCCCTGTAAGCCATCCAGAGTCATTTGCACAAAATGGGCAGCTGTATAAATCATATCAATCAATCTCCTTTTCATTTGTCACGTATAGGAGGAAAAAAAAATAAACTTGAATGTCCATGCTTGTATACTTTGTCAGACTTGTGTAGTGGCATCATATTAAGCAGTACTCTTTAATATGGAGCTGCATATGTGTATAATAGGACTCTACTCTGTTTACATTGCAGCCATAATGGATAAGTATAACATTAATTTCCTTATTAAAAAATCCTTATCCTTCTGAATTGCCATCATTTCATTTTTGCTTTAGTTTGAGTACCATCCAGCAGGTGAAATGTTATAATATTGAAGAGATACATTCCAATTTATTTAATGTACCCAAAATCAAATTCTATATAAGTTTTTATGTAGGAAAACTGCTATGGCTTACCCTTGCTCCTTTCTCTCCATTAGCACCTGGAAATCCAGGAAACCCAGTAGATCCCTGCACAAAAGAAATTACAAGTGTACTCTTAATTGTTATACATTATTCATAAGCCCTACACACTGTATACTTATGATAGATTATAATACTGTACTCTAAGGATGATAATAGATTTGATTGGACTTTCTACTGTCCAATTACAAGAGAGTTCTTTAAACTAAACCCAATGGTTTTAACAGCAAATGCAATCAACAGGGCTCATATTGTATCTACATGTTTCAGACTTGGGAGGCCGTTGGAAGCACAGCATGGTAGAACATAGAATGCTGTCTTATACCATCAGACTATTTATCTATTTATTCAACATCTCCATTGCCATTCTCCAGAATTTCAGACAGAAATGTCTCATTATCCTACCTGGTGATTCCAAGTATTTCATCTGGAACTTCAGCATGTAAACCACATTTTATTATGAACTATAAATTGCATAAAATGTATTCTTTGCAATATATGTTATTCAAATCACACAATCCAAGCATGATTAGAGATATTAACAGTTTTCAGGTACTTACCATAATGGTTCAAGTCCAGAATGCAGTAAAACATTAACAGTGAGTTTATTTATTTATTTATTTTGAAAACTGATGACATATGAAGCCACCATTCATGGAAACAAGCCACAGAATGATAGAGTGGATGAGGACCATTATAATAATTTGAATATAAAGCACAAACTCACCATACTTAACTTACATAACCCAGACAACAGAGAACAGATGTCCACAGAATGTTGTATAATGGATTTTAATTGCATAATTGATTTAGTTTTACTGGAATTGTTAGAAGACTGGTGTCTACAGAAGGAGGGGGGTAAGTGATGAAAAGTATATATGACACTGTGACACAAGTAAAAAATTGCTGAGTTTGCATCACACGTTTTGTCATTTTAGGATCATTGTGGTTAGGAATATACACCTACTGAAATATATACCATCCATCTATGATATCATATTTTGATACTCTATTTATTAAGAGTATCTTTTTAAAAATAAAAAAAATGATTTAAAAATTCCTATAATATAATTACCATATGAATGGCATCTTAAATTCAGTATATTGCATGATTCTAGGTGTAGACTTTGAAGGGCAATCATCTGCAACAGTCAGCTAACCAAGAACTAAAGGTTTTTTTTGAATACTTGAAAATATACATTGATAAAATCCAACAAACAAAACAAAGTTGCCTTTTGAACAGATAGCAGCACTATCAACAAGTCTAAACTAAGTGTCATATATATACACATACATATACAGTACTATGCCTATACCTAAACCTATATGTACACCTATACATACACGCACACACACCTAATACATAATGTCCTGCACTACTACTTTGATTTTGTTTTTATGACTGTTTCATTTTTAGTGCTTTTGAGTCAGTCTTGACTCCTGGTAACTATGTGAACAAATCATGCAAGCTAACTATTACTGTGTAATTATTTCAAGTGAGAGTCAAACGTAAGGATGAAATTAATATGATTTAGGCCTGAACTTCAATGAAAATTTTTAAATAATGCCAGCTGCACAGGGAAAAATACTTTTAACGTCTCGTTGACATAATTGCAAGCATAGCTGGTCACGCTACTAAAGTTTCTACCAGATGAAGCTTGTATCAATAATAATAATGGATTATAGGCAGTTTGTTTTCATAATGGGTAGATAGATGCTATTTAATGAAAGAAATTAACTGGGCTTGAATGTGAAACATCAGGAAGATTACTAAAGAATATTTATGCTCAGAAATTAATGCAAAATGTTCTACTCATATAAAATGTGTTCTTTTCCTACCACTAAAAGACTTATTATTATTTCATTTCTAGGTTTGAATATAGAAAAAGGGTTCCAAATATACAAGAATAGATTCAGACTAGCAAAGCAATGCTAATTCACACTTAGTAGGAGTTGAATTTATAGACTGTATACCACTTCCAAACCCTGGTATCTTATATAAGCCAGGGCAGGAGCTAAAGAAGGACTTTGAACAATGGGAGTTTCTCTTTTTTAATTCAACACTTTGTCATCATCCAACCTGGAAAACAGTAGTGGGAATGATGATTCAGTAGTTGGTCTGAATTTTGTTCCAGATTCCTTAAGTATTATGAAGAATTTTAATGAAACATATTTGTAAGCCACTTTTATTGTGTAAATATTGTATTATTATTTTTCAACTCAAATGTAGCCTATAAAAATGTTAACTATGCTCTAGGAGGTTTCTGCTATTATCTTTTGAAAATAAGAACTGCTGTGTATGCTAATTTTGCTCTTTGAATAAGGGTTAAGAGGAAAATGTTCATCTGTCTGACCTGAGTGTTTCCAAGAAGGTCAAACACACAACACAAGGCCTTCTCATGTACCCCATGTCTTTTCATATTATCTAGGCAGTACAGGCAGGAATGTTCATGGTATAAACCTAATGTGATAAAGGAGTACAAAAAATTTATAGAAGTAGAGGATAGTATAAATGGACTTAGGGTGGTGAGGAAGAAGACAAAAATTGTACTCAGCAGTAAAGTGTGGAGAACTTTCCTAAAACTACTTCTCCTCATTGGTAACATAAGCAATAAGAAAATGCATAGTGGTGCCAATAAAAATTCAAATTTACATAAATATTCACTTTACTTACATGATTACAAGAGATCACAATAAGCACTGTAAAGATGGGTTCTGGCTAAGTATCTCTTGCACTCATTCCTGGCTTTCTTTTTTCCTTCTCTACTTTTTCTTCTGATTCTTTAATAGGAACTTTTAGAATCCTGATATAATCTGCCATTATTTAGAATGTGTGACAAAGATCGGACAATTGAAAAAGATAAAGCTACATAGTCTAGATTCCAGATACTGGAGATTAAAATGATAGGACAAAGAGGTTTAGGTTTAAATATTTCTTCCAAAGTCTCCATAATGGAGATCACTGTGACTTTTCAATTCAGATTTATTTTTGAAATTAAATGAAGTTTTATAACTGGCATAATTATAGCAATCCAACATGCAAGCAGATGAAAATGAAAAGCAAACAACTCTGACTTGTTCAAAATTATCCTGGCTATATATATTATGAAACATTTTCAATTCTTTCTAGTAAACAGTAATGAACAATCAAATTCTTAAAAACTTCTTAAAATAGTAAGTAAATGTTTTGATAGAGATCTAGTTTTGCATAATAGTTAAAGGCACTGGTCTAGAAACCGGGAGACCATGAGTTCTAGTCCTTCCTTGGGCACACAGCCAAGTTCTAGTCCTTCCTTTGGCCAGTCACTTTCTCTCAGCCTAGGAAGAAGGCAAGGGCAAATCACTTCTGAAAATGTTGCCAAGACTACAGCATGGACTGTGGAGAAGATGACCGAAGAACTGTGACATAGGGGACCTGAATCATTATTTCTCTTATTTTTAGGACTGTGGCAGAGGAATTGTTTTTAGTTGCCATTACTTGAACTACTCAAATTGTAGAGTTGCTTTGGAAAAGTAGATAGAAGGACTTAAAGAATGAAGGAGTAAGGATAGCAGGAGGTGCTTTAAAAGGAAACAAAGAGGACTCAAGAGTGTATATTTTCAAAGGATAGGTGAAGAAGGAAAAGGATTCTTCAAATACTAAATAGTCTAGAGAAGTAAAGACAACAGAATATCTGTTAAGTATAATACAACAAAAAATGTTATGGCACTTTGGGGACATCTTCAGGATTGATTGGGACAGCAGAAAAGCCAGCAACACAATGGAAGTGTCTGCCAACTATTGCAATGTTTGTGCTTCCGACAGCTACTGTGAAAACAAATTATTGCTGGTAAGTTAAACTGAAATAGTTCTGGTTTTGTCACCACCTGGGATAGTACCCCCATAAAATAAAGGCAATACATGGATTCATGACTCAAACCCCTGGAGATAATAATACACTTTTGTGCCAATACTTTTCAAGAGTCAGACTTGAAAATATTAAATAGTGGGCAATGCTTGCACATTAATTTCAGTTCTACAATATTATGAGCATGAAGAAAATTCATATTGAAATCTCTGGAGAAAAAAGAGCAAGATTTCTTTTGATGCAACCATCATTTGTGTTCATACTTTGAATAATGTAAGATTGCTTTGATCTTAAGAAATTGGGGAAGAAATGACAGTCCTCATCTCACAAAAAACTGAAATTTCAAGCATTTAGATTAAAAGCCAAGTGCATCAAAGCCCTACATTTGAAACTGAATATTCTTGATCAATTATTTCTGTAGCAGTAATAGATTACCACATTGGCACAAAGTGAACAGAAGATCCAAAATAAACATACCTTCCCAGGTTTCAAGACAATTACACATAAAGTTCTTTTCAATGTAAAATAATGCATTTTTAAATTATACTTTGAATGGTATAAATTAAATAAATTAAAGCATGCATAGGACATCCATGTTGATCAATTATTTTATCTACATAAACAGACACATAGATATGGACAGTGCTGTCCAAGTTAACAAATCAAGAGCTATTTCCATATTTTATTTTTCTGAAATTCCCTTCTTTCTCTCCCCACTTTAGCACAATTTAATAGATTATTAATGTTACACTTTACCCAGAATCTGAAACCCACTTCAAACCACTGTTTCAGAACTGTTCATCTTCATAGGGCTTCTTGTAGAATGCTGCTACCAGGAAATGTTTAAAATTTTAATGGATTTAAGATTGCATTTTAAAAACCCTTTCAAGACTCACTTTGATGTTCTATTTAGTGTTTTTAGAAGACATCATAGAAGTACTTGACATGTAGAAAATTTACATCAGAAGTGAATGTCTGCATCTTCTTTCAAGGGATGATAAAACATGCTTAAACTCCTAGATTCCTACTAGACTCTCTCACTTGAACAACCCCGGAAAAGTTAATTACCCATTTTGATTTAAACCTTTCAGATTAGGTGTTCCAAGGATGACTTCTAAATTGTTGAGTCATGACTGAGCCATTGTGCTCTCTGCTTTTTTAACCTCTTTTTTCTTTTTCCATATGCCTGTGGTGTGATGGAGAGCCACAGAGATGACCATGGAAAACTATTCCTATAGGCTCTATCAGTAAAGTATAGTTCCAGTTAATCTCATGGAGTTGATTTCCTGACCTGGGCTGCCTTGAAGAGCTGACAGGTATGTAAAATTATAAATCCAAAAAAAAAAAAAAAAAAAAGACGGCCCCATCAGTAGGATGAAGGAATTGGAATACCATACATTGGAACAAAGATCATATTTTACAAGTGGTTATAAATAAGTGTTCTTATGAGTAAATCCTTACTATACATGAAAAAACATGCCATATCCATATACAATATGTAGGGATGAGTTTTGTTTGTTTATTTGTGCCTTCAAGTCGTTGTTGACTCCTGGCAACTGTCTGACTAGTCCCTGCAGTTTTCTTGGCAAGATTTCAGAAGTGGTTTATCACTGCCTGCTTCCTAGGGCTGAGAATTAGTGACTGCCCCAAGGTCACCCAGATGGTTTTGTGCCTAAGGTGGGATTAGAACTCACAGTCTCCTGGTTTCTAGACTGATGCCTGTTAGTATACATAATTATCCAACATAATGTCAACATAATTATCCAGAGTAGGATATCCAGTCAGAATTATTGGACTAGCTTCTATTAGGAGAACAGTATATAATGTTTAGATTGCAGTAAAGGTATTTTATAATTCCATCTGGATAAATTCCAAATAATAAACTAATACACATCCATTCACTTAAACAAATATGCACACAGTATTAAATCTTAAATAACATATACCTCCCTAATACTGTAGCAAATTTACCTTAGGGCCTTGTCTTCCTGGATATCCTGGCAAACCGGGAACACCAAGTTTACCCTGTAATTAAAGAAACAAACAAACAAATATTAATTTCTCATTTACTTTTCCCAAATATTCCCATAGTGTAACTAGCGCTTCTATGTAGTCATCATACTTACTGATTTGTAGCTATATGGATGGACACACACACACACACACACACACACACGTCTTGTATTTGTGAGGATAAGAAAAGACATTTATGAAAAATGGAGTACATGAGATATGCTCAGAGTAAGCCACAGAGGAAGAAAGGGTGGTTCTGGAGTATTTCAATGTATGCAGCATGTGGGAAAACACCAGAATGAGGACCTTTAAGAAGATTCATCAAGGAACATTTCTCAAAATAAGCAAAGTTTACTATGTGAACTAGATGAGCTGATGGTACCCAAGAGGAAAAATCGACAAAAATTGACTGACCAAGCTTTATCAAAAGTCATAGAAGTGGATGAGAACTGTAAGATTTGGGGACATCACACAGCATGAGGCATTGTGCATGGTGGGCTTCTCCTTTGATTCTTCTGGAATTCAAACTTAGCCTAATTAGCCAGATTTCAAGCTGGGTAGGTATATACATGTGTGTACGTGTGTGTGTGAGAGAATAACATATTTAAATCTTTTAAATCAGAAAATGAACACTGAAAGTTATAATCCTACATTTGTTTCCATGTAACCTGAGTCTCTGTATAAATAAGAACAGTAAGTAGCACTGGAGATGTTATAAACATCCTATTTTATAATCTTCCATATAACAGCAATTATGTTACTATACTCCTTCATTTTTCAAGTTTGCTGCACACAAGTTCTGTTTAGTTATGGCCATACTGTTTGGTAATGCCAGGAGTAAGATACATTGAGCAGGCAAAAGTTGAGTTAATGGACGCTAATCCAGAATATACCATAGAATAGCTTCTTTATGCTATGTTTTGCCCTCCACATTTAAAATAATCTTTCCTGACTTGGTCAGATAAATCACCTTAGTTACAAAACATTTGAACATTCAAGCTAACATTTCATGTTATTAGTTATTTTCAGGTGGTTCCATCAATAAGACTGTAGTCACTTAGGGGAAAGTGTAGTTGTCCTTGATGGTCCCATAAAAATGCTCTCCTCTGATGTGCAAACACATTTTTTTCCAAGAATGGGAACTTGGGTAATCAGAATACTGCGACAAAAGGCCATGGGAACAGCATCTGCTCCTTCATTCAAAATACAATATGGAAGAAATTCTTAACTGCAGGGCTGAAGAATTGTTCCAAATACTAAAAGTGATATAAAAGAGCTATCTTTGCTTGTATACACATAATCTCATAATCATAATCTCAGTGTTTGTGAGAGAGTGGGATGGGATGTTAGTATCTTCAGCCAAATTGCTGAACATATTAGAAATCAAAACAAATATCAAATAAAAACTCCACTGCTCAAAAACAATAGTTCATCAATAAAGCTATCCTGAAGGGTGGAAGGAGAGTTAGTGATGATCCCTGAAGGTAAGATTGGCAACCTTCAGGCATCTAGGAAGCACACTTAACAGTCTTGGGGATGGCCACAATAAGAAGAGAAATATGCAAAATGAGCAGGGCAATTTCACTTCACATGGGCCAGACTATCTTTCCTGGGTTGGGGGGAGGGGGGGAGATTTGGGCAAGAACTCTTTTTCAAAATGATACCATGCCTAGTTTTTTGTGTTTCCTTCTTCAAAAAGATGGGAAACCATGTCAATGAGCTTTGGCAATTTTGGCTGGGGACCATAAGTGACTAGGAGCTCAGATTGCCCATCCCTGCTGTAGGGTAGGGAGCATGATGAATAGGGTAATATGGTGAATAGAAATTTCAGAAGTACCTGCATAGTAGTGATAGCATTGCTTATGACTACTGTGCTCATGAGAGACAGTAAGTTAACCATGTGGCCTTCTGTTTGTGATCTCTTTGGGGCCCTTCCCATCCTCTACTAGCCCCAGAAGAGTGGTATTAAGTACTGTTGAGGCTTTTCTTAAACATGTCTGTGCTCTACAAAGCATTTGGTCCTCTTTGAGCAAATGAAAGGTCTGGCAGCACTGTATTTTCTCCAAAAGCTATCAGTTTCTGAATTGATTATGTGATTTTGTTGTTCATGGAACCAAATGTGAATAGTCACATAATGCAAAAGTAATGCAAAACCTCTTGGGCTAGGGTCATGTTGCTTATACCATTACACTGCCCCTGTTCCCATAAAACACTTAACTAAGTCAGCCACCAGCAAATCAAATCTCCTTATCAGTGATTCTAGCGGTACATAATGAGAATACAGAGTCCCTACCCAATTTCTTTAGGAATTGCTTAATATGCCTTAAACCTTTGCACTGAGAGAATACTGGCAAAATTTCATTACCTTACTAGGCTCTTCACAACTGACTGTGCAAACAGGTGTTGTTTGACCATTACTGCCAACCAGAGTTTGGAAGATGTGTTGTGTGCCACCAAGCCTTGGCAGGAATTCAATAATGGACAGGTTTGCTTTTTCAGCTGCACTTTCGCTCCAGTTCTTTTTGGGTATTCCAATGACACATCTAACTGGCTGGAGTTAGTTTAACACTTTGCATGATGGAATTCTAGTGTGAGCTAACTTAACTCCCCAGTGGCTGACAGGGCCAACCGATACCTTTTTTGTGTTCCCACAACATACAAGCCCCTTTCCCAATCCAGTTAAGCATATTGAATTAATAGGATCATTGTGCTGAAAGGAAAATATACTAAAATATATGACAGTAGGAGACACAAACAGCAATGAGAAACTACTATGGGACCTGGAGGAATTTGAGGGCTTGGCTAAATATGTCAACTTCCTGAAATCCCCCCTTCCTTTTACACTGAAATAAAATATTCACTTTTCAAATTTTCAGAGCAGCAGCAGTTATTATGGTTGGTCACACAGTCAGCCAGATGTTTAGACTGAATTTGGCATTTTTATCCAC